CTAATAATCTCAGATGACCAAACCAATCTTTGGAGTGTTCTCTGCTCTACTTCTGACTTTACTTGTGGTGTTACCATGCTTGTTATAATCTCAGAGTTGGAGAAAAATCTTGTAAAAGAGTAAAAAGCAAAACAACAACAGAAAAACTTATTCCTAGCACTCCTGCAACTTTTCGTGTATGTTCTGAGCTGTAGCACAGGTAGTTTGTTTGTGTGAGGTGTTTTAAAAGGCCAAAGATAAAAGGTTTCCTTTTTTTGTGTATAAAGTTGCTGTTTATTTTATTTTGGGGCCTGTTTGACGTATGTTGTCTAAAATGTTGTCTAATAATAAACTGGATTTTATTTTGCTGTGTTGTTCTAAAATAAATAAAATGAACGAAACCTATTTTTAAAAGTTTGGCTTTGGACATGCTTGGTTTGGAATATTTTAGGCATCTGAGTGGAGCAACTAATGGAGAAATGCATGTAGAGTTCAGGAGAGAGGTTGAGGCTGACATTGTTAGCACTTAAGTTTTTTACATAGATGGTATTTTAAATGATAGCATTGGTTAATATTTTCTAAGACGCGTGTTAGTAAAATCTGAGTAGAAGCCCAAGGGTAGAACACAAAAATATTTTAATACTTAACGGTTGAGTAAAGTAAAGGTTGAGAAAAGATCCAACAAAGAGGCTGAGACAAGCAGCCAGGATGCTGAGAAAAAAAATCACTAAAGGGTGGAAGTCAGATAAACATTGCCTTTAAAGAAGAAGTAATGATCAACTGGTCAGAAGCTACTTAGGTCAAGTAAGGGGAGAATTGGATTTGGTAATTTGAAGGCTATTGTTAACCTTGATAAGAAAAGTCTCAGAAGCAGATAAAAGAATCATGAGAGGTCTTTTGTATCCTAAAAAGTTAAGATACAGTAAATGGAAAGAGAGTGAGAAGTTTCATCACATAAAGAAAGCAAAGAAGTGGTATCCTAGCTGGAGAGACATTCGATTCGGGTTGCAGCCTCTAGAGGGAGAATACTCAAGATCCTGAGTAGGTGAGTTTTGTAGATATTGGAGTATTTAGGCCTGGAGTTCAAGAGTGAAAAGCCTGGAGATACTGATTTTGAAATAACTAATTATATATGATTCGAACAAATATGGGAGTAGATGAAATTGCTTAGAGACAATGAAAACGAGAGGAGTCAAAAGATGTAATGGAAGAAGATCCAGTAAGGAAGACTAAGTACTGGCCTCTATTTCCCAGTTATTTTTATCCCCATAGCACATGGCACATGGTTTCACCTCTCATATTGGGAAAGCGTTCCTTTCCTGGATCCTTCCTCATTTCTCACAGTACTTTATGCATATCTTTATTAGCACTTATTTCCCTGCATTTACATTATATGCCTGCTTCTTCCAACAACCTGAAAGCTCCCTCTGCCAAAACCTTTTTCATCTTTGTGTCTACAACTCTTAACATAGTACATAGTAGGTGCTAAATGAATGATGCATGGAAGAGGGGGAGGCTAAGCTACAAATAGAGTGTGTAATATATAACCATTAGAAAGTGTGAATACGCCTTTCTAAAAGCAATATACATGTTGGAAAGAATTCACCAGTGAAGCCATCTGGAGTTTTCTTGTAGGAAGGTTTTTTATTATGAATTCAATTTCTTTAAGATATAAAAATATAGATTTTTCCGTTTATCATTGTTTCAGTCTTGGTAAGTTTTGTTTTTCAATAAAAATTTTCCATTTTATCTGAATTGTCAAATTTATTGGTATAAAGTTAGTTGGAGGATCCTGTTACATTTTTAATGTCTATAGGGCCTGTAGTGATGTTCAATTTTTTATTGCTGATATTAGTAATGTGTGTTCTTATACTTTTCCTTGATTTGTCCTGCTAGGAGTGGACTGATTTTAAACTTTCTGAAGAGCAGTAAATTTTGGCTTTGATAATTTTCTTTCACATCTCTGCTTTCTGTTTCACTGATTTCTGATTTTATCGTACTTTTTTTAAATTTGAATTAAATTTGCTTGTTACTTTCTCTAAATTTTCCTTTGAAACTCTGAATCCTGTGGGTGAGTTCTGTAACCAAAGTGGCTCATTAGAGAAGTCTCAACTCTTAAAAGAATACACCTTCCTTAATACACTACCATGTTCTGTCACTGGCTGGAAACAGTTTATAGGAAGTTGTGAACACATCAGTGGATCCAGAAGGCCAGTAGCTGGGCTCATCAGTTAACTATGCTCTGCAGAGCAGGAAATCCAAGGGGCCCATTTTCAGAACCACAGACCATTTTTGGTCTTACAGGTCTACTTCTTCAGGCAGTTTTGGAAAGAAGGTTTTCCATAGTTCCTATGGGTCTCTCTTCTTGAAGGGAAACTTAGAAGGGGAAGCTTAGTGGAATGAAGTACATTTGGTCTGGAGGCCACAACTGATACTCACCCTCTCCTTTCCACTATCCACTCTAAGTCACCCTTATCCTCAGTGATTAGTTTAGTAGGTCTTGGGGGCTTGTATGGTTGTATGAGCCAAACCTTAATTCTTGAGGCTTCTGAGCTCCTGGTAATCATACCTTTCTTGAGCCAGTGTTATTGTGTTCATTCACAGTTTCAGGGGGGCAAGAGAGTAACAAAAGATGCTTAAGTGGACCACATGGGTTCTGTAAAAGGCAGTGCTATCTCCTCCTACTGATCAGGTTAATTGTCCCTCTCATAATGGTGACACCTCCTTTGGCCTACCAATCCCTGGACATAGGAATCTAAAATACCCCAGCAGCAGTCAGAGCTTATAGCTCACAGCACCTTTATGGGAGTACAAACCTTTTGGGGACAGTACCTTCAGTCTTACAGATCCCAGATATGAGTATGGGAAGCACAATAAGCTTTAATGGGTCATTAGGAGTGAACCTAAGTGGGGCTACCCTGCATCCACTCCTTGGTTAGTGGACCATGTAGTGTTACTACTGGGGTCATAAACACCTTTGCTTTAATGTCTCTAACACATCCAGACTGATAGCACCCAATTCACTCAGAGTGTTACTTCTAAGTGCTGTTTCACCTGTGCCTTTGGAAAGTAATTTAACTCTATGTTTTTCTGGATGATGTGAATCCCATAGCCATGGGTTCACTTCCATACCTCTTTTAATGTGAAGCACCCTGGTCAGGTGCTATTTTATGTAGTATCCTATGCTCATGGACCAGGTATTTCATAAACACACATAGTAGTGCTGGTTGAGGATCCGTGAGTAGAATGGAAAACCCATGGACAAAATTGGTATCTACCACTGTGAGAATGAACTATTGGTCCCTCCAGAATGGATGACTTCACTGAGTTAACTTGTCACCAAGTAGCAAGTTGGTCTTTTTGATTAACAGTATCATATTGGGGGCACAGCATTGGTCTCTGTTGTTCACAGTTTGGATAGTCATGTATCAGTAGCTAGATTAGCATGGAAGGTTGGAGTTCATTCTTTTTGGGCCCATATATCACCTCCATCTCTGCCACTATGGCTTCTCCATGGATGTGCCTGGATTCATTTCTTAGAGATGTCTTCAAGTTCTACACATTTGGTCATTAAAACAACAGAAATTTATTGTCTCACAGTTCTGGAGGTTAGATGTCTGAGATTAAGGTGTTGGCAGGCTTGATTCCTTCTGAGGACTATGAAGGAAAATCTATTTCAATTTCTTCTCTAGCTTCTGGTAGTTTGTTGGCAATCTTTGGATTTCTTAGTTTCTGCTGCATCACCCTAATCTGTTTTTATCTTCACACGTATTCTCTCTACATATCTGTCTTCACCTGGCTGTCTGTTTTTAAGGACCAGTCATACTGAATTAGGAGTCTACTTTATTCCACTATGAACCCATCTTAACTAACTACATCTACAATAACCTTATTTCCAAATGAAGTTACATTCTGAGTTATTGGAGTTAGAACTTCAACCTGTGGATGGGAGTGGGGAGACATAATGCAATCCATTAAGAGTGGCCATCACACTGGTTTTGGGGTGGCCAGTTTTTCAGGCTGATAATGACAACTGGATGAATCATTTGTCTTCTTGATTATTTAGTGCCTCTTTGCTGGAGGATGCAAGTGTGCTACAAAAATCTTCACCATTTATGCCCACTTCTATACATTCATCCACATGAGTCTACCTCAGAACTCCTTATCTTTGGCCTTCCAGTCCATAGGCCTCTTACCAGAGGGTCAGGCCTTTGATACCTGCCCAAGTAGCTATCTCTTATACTGATCGGCTTCTCCTTACACACAAAGTAGACTATCAGGGATGATGCTTGCAGCCCCACCCACTGGGAAGGTTTTCCCTTTCTGATGTTTTTCAAAGCTCCTCAAGAATGTGGCTATAGGACCTCCTCCATGGTGGCACAGTGGGTTGAGTGCAGCGCGTTGAGCGCAGCGCTGCGCAGCTGTCCGTAGCCTCCGTGGAGCCGGTTCCACTCCTGGCCGGCCAGGGAGATTCCCACATGGCAAAGCAGACCTCCCCTGTCTCGCCCCCTGTTCCCCTCAGCAGTGTATTTTGGTCCTTCTGCTTATTCTGCTCCTTGCTCTGTCTCTGGTGGATTCTCTTACCCTCCCACGCCTCTGGCCTGTATACCAGTTCTTGTATAAATAAAAAAATCTTTAAAAAAAAAAAAAAGAATGTGGCTGTAGTGCAGCTGCCATTTAATTTTGCCTTGCACCCACATACTAAGCTGACTCATTCATAAACCAAACTCAGACTTTCCTCTTTTCCTTCAGCAGGTCATGATACTGATACAGCTATGTTGGGTGAAATGGGGGGCCTGGGCTACTTGGTGGTGCAGTTTACAAGTATCCTCACCACATTTGCACTCCATCCCAGGCACCCCATATTATAGTAGATGGTGCGTGGTCCAGCTGCACCAACAGAAACCAGTCTATAAAAGGTAGTTCTGGATACTTGGTCACTTGGTGTCCTGTGGCGAAGTCTTCTGTCTCCACCAAGGACCAGTGTCACACGAGTAGGTTTCTAAAATGTGTATAACTCTGCTGCAGGTGGTGTGGCTCACTCCAGAGTCCCAGAGACTGCACTGTGATTTTTCCACTGGGGTTTGCCATAAGCTCTGTGTGCTCTGCTGCCATACAAAACACCATAGACTGGGTTGCTTAAACAATAGAAATTTATTTTCCCACAGTTCTGGAGGTTGGAAGTTTGAGATCAGAGCACTAGCCTGGTAAACCTCTGGAGTTAGTGCTCTTCCTGACTTGGAGAGAGCCACCTTCTCGCTGTGTCCTCCCAAGGCGGTTCAAATTGGAGGTGTTTCTGCTCCTGTAATCCAATAAATTTTTTATCAAGTGATAACTCAGTCACAGCCTTGGTGTTCTCCTCAGAACCTGCCTTCTTACTTTTTTGAAATATGGGTAGGCTGAGAATTTTCTGAATGATCAAGCTGTGATTGATCAATTGCTTAACAATTTTTCAATTCATCTTTCTTCTTTCACATTTTATGGAAGGATTCAGGAAGAACAAACCTCATTCTTCAAAACTTTGCTGAGACATCTGAGCTAAACAGGCAAGTCCATCACTCACAATTTCCACCTCCCACAAAATACTAGAAAACACAGTTCAAACAAGTTCTTTGCCACTTTATAACAAGGGTTACCTTCCCTCCAGTTTCTGATAACACTCCTCATTTCTGTCTGCAACCTCACTACAGTATCCCTTAATGTCCATATTCCTAGCACTCACTAAAACTCTTCCAGCCTCAACCCATTAGTCAGTTACAAATCCATATTCAGTTTTAGCTGTCACAGCAGTACTCCACTGACAGCACCAAAATCGGCATTAGTCAGAATTCATAACCAATAGCAGAGAGACATAGATACAGATACTGATATAGGCACAGGTAGGTTTAGTATAAAGAACTGGCTCACATGATTATGGAAGCAGAGAAGTCCTGAGATCTGCAGTCAGCAAGCCGGAGGCCCAGGAAAGCCATGGTGTACTTCCAGGCTGAGCTTGAAGGCCTGAGAACCAGAAGAGCAGATGGTATAAATCAGTCTGAAAGTTGGCAGCCTCAAGAAGCAAGAAGAGCTAATGTCTGAAGACCAGAAAAGACCAGCGTCCTAGCCGATCAATCAGGCAGGGGAAGTTCCTTTGTGCTCAGTATTTTTATTCTACTTCAGATCTCCACTTGATTGGATGCAGCCCCTCACATTAGGGAGGGTGATCTGTTTTATTTAGTTTACCAATCCAAATGTTAATCAATGTCATCCAGAAATACTCTCATAGACACACCCACAATAATGTTTGACCAATTATCTGGGTATCCCCATGGCCCAGTCAACGTAAAATTCACCACCACAAAGCTCCAGCCTGCATTTTCCTCATCTGACACCTCCAACCCCAAAGGCTCCTGGAATATAAGGTTAAAGTGGCACAGATGATTATTCTGTAGACCGACCCTTTTCCTGTTCTGAACCCCAAAGTTGGAAATCTTCAGTGTTACTTGGTGTATGGGCTGGAGCAGTATTTCTAGATGTAGAATGTGATGCCCAGGTCATAAACACACCAAGTCCTATGCATCCTTCTCCATGGTAGGGGGTAGAAGATGCAACAGCTTGACTCTTACTTTATTTTTTTTTAAAGATTTATTTATTTATGCATTCAAGAACTGGGGTACAGGCCAGAGGTGTGGGGGGTGAGAGGAGTCACCAGAGATAGAGTAGGGAACAGAACAGGTGGACTGACTGAAATACACTGCTAAGGGGCACAGCGGGCAAGGCAGAAGAGGTCTGCTGTGCCATGTGGGTCACCTCCATGGCTGGGGATCGAACTCGTGCTGCAATGGCTGCCATTAGCTTCACAATGTTGATGTCTAAGCTCTTGCGCCACCAGGGAGGCCCCTTGACTCTTACTTTAAAAGGATATGCTGCACACCTCTGACCACCGGACCCTTAAAAACTTTACTGAAGTGACAAGTCCTTGAATCTTTATAGCAATTTCCTTCTACTCTCTGGGTCTTCCCAATGCCTCCAGCCTACTAGCCACCACTTACTTGTGCTGTCTGACCAGCCTTTAGTATTTTTGATGTAATGGATCAATGAATGTGACATTCTATGAGATGTTCTGGACTATATTATGGACCATATTAGGACAGATCTCTTTGGACTATATTATGACAGGGGGCAGAGAGTTAACCATCCAAAACTGTAAATGAATATTGTTATCTATCCCACATGTATGGGAACCATTTCTGATGATTCTATCTAGTCAGAATGGAAAATTCATTCAACAAATCACTCAACACATGCCCTGTCTCACTGGCCTCTTAATTTGCCCCAGCTCCAATGCTACACCCAGGACGGCAGGTGCCATTACAGCTGTTACTTGCTGAAGCCTGGCCTAGTCTACAGCCATTCTCCAGAATCTGCCTAGTTTCTGCAGGGGCCATACTGGCTGATTAAATGGAGATGTGAGAGGAATTATCCTTCCTTCTCCCACATCCTTTGGGTCTCTAATAGTGGTGCTCATTTCCATCATGTTCCTTGTATGTGATTTTTATGTTAGAGGGTTTGAAGGGTCATTTTCAGATATTTCCACTTGTCCTTTTCCACTATGATAGCTCTTACACAGGTCAAGGATTTAATTTGGGTATTACTCCAACTGCCAAGTATATTAATTCCAATTATACACTTAGGAACTAGAAGTATGACCACTTGTGGGTTCACAGACACAATAAACCTGTGATCTGGACTTTAGCCAGGACTCCATTTATTACTTGACCCTGTAAGAACCCACTCTAACCAGGTGCCAGGACAACACCTTGAATCTAAGAATGTTGACATCTTCTGAGTTCCTGAGTTTAACAGTTCTCAAATTTTCTGGTTATACCTCTTCCCCAATGTGTACAGTCATCCAAGGAATGGCAACAGATAGGGGAATAATATGTATACTTGCTACAGTGTTGCAGAATCTGCTGCAACACTAGGTCACAGACTGTTACAATGGGTTACAGACCTGAAAAATGGCTTAAGTCTGGCCCTTGAACAAAGGATAATGACTTTTTAAAAAAAATTTATTTATTTATTCATACAAGCACTGGGTACAGTCAGAAGCACAGGAGGGTGAGAGAATTCACCACAGATAGAGGGGGGAACAGAACAGGCAGAGTGAAGAAGTACACTGCTGAGGGGATTAGCGGGCACGGCAAGAGAGGTCTGTCACGCCATGTGGGACCCTTGCTGGAGGCCAGGGATGGAACCAGCACTGCAGAGGCTGTGGGCAGCTTTGCAGCCCAGCGCTCAACCGCTGCACCACCAGGGGAGGCCCAAGGATAATGACTTTTTGAGGGTGATGTTTCTCAGTCTCTTGCTCCTCACTTTTGGCTGCCTTTTTTGTTTTGTTTCTAGATGTTAATAGGCCTTGCTGACTCTTTTTTCCCCTGGAGAAGCTAAGATCTACATCCATCCCCACAATTCCCTATGTGTCAAACCTCCTTGGCTGCCACTCTTGTCAGATGTTGATCTTCAGAGCATTATGACCTCCTGGCTTCTGGTGACTAAAAGCACTGTCTGGCCTCTATTATTTGGGGGGGGGGGAGAAGGACATTATTCTCATGGTTATTAAGAGCCCCAGCTCTATGTCCAAATTTCCTTTTTATAAGGACACCAGACAGATAGGATTAAAATCCTACCTACTTCATTTTAACTTACATACCTCCTTAAAAACCCTATTTTCAGGGCCTCCCCTGGTGACGCAGTGGTTGAGCTCTGCCCGCAGTCTCTGCAGCACCAGTTCGATCCCCGGCCACTGGCGAGGGTCCCACAAAAAACAAAACAAAACAAAAAAACTCTATTTTCAAATATAGTCACATTCTGGGGAAGCCTTCAGAATGGTTTAGGGCTTCAACATGAAGTGAGGAGGGCACAGTTTAGCCCATAACAATATGTAAGAGATTCATTTGGGGAAATATCTGTGAGAGACAAAAGAGAAGGGAGCAGAGGTGGGAGAGTCTGTAAATTGTGACACAGGTATGATAACATGTTGAAGCAGGAAAAGAAAGGAGGGATACACAGTGTCTCAGACCACAGCATGGTTCTAAGGTTTCAACTAGGCTTATGGGTAGTTCTCAAGTCAAAGCTGCCTGTCAGAGGGGTCCCCAATACTGCAGCAGTGAAACTGCATTAGTTCTCCTGCCATGCTGTCATTGGCCAGGACTGGCCAATTACTATTTCTAGAAAGACTTGCAACAATCAAAGCTAGTTAAACATCCCAATTACAAAACAATGGAAATCAAATAAATCATATACAAGGTGAAGCAGGCAAATATAAAATATTTTTTATGTAAATAAACTGTACCTTTTAAGTAGTCAGATGGATGTGGGGGACATAACATTTAGGACAAGCAGAGACCTAGATTAGACTGATTTGAAATCACTTATGAAATTCTCCATACATTTTCTACGAATTGTCCAGGAATGTCTGACACAAAGTGACCAGAGATGACATCTGCTAACAAATTGAGTATGTTCAATACTTATTAAATATACGCCAAACTATGTCATTTACTTCCAGTAGACTGGCAAGGAAATTATCATGCTTTGTTGTAATATAATTTAAAGCTCTAAAATAATTACGGCACGTTTCAATTCTGTATCATTTTCCTTTCTTTGAAAAAAAAAAAACCAAACCTACAACACAAAACAGTGCCAAAATATCTGACAGCGCTCACACTGTGGGTGAATGGAGAACTTTCACAATGTCCAAATGATGTGCATTTCTATAGGACAAAACATTCCTTCTCATCAATCAGTATTTTACAGAAAAATGTGTGAAAACAAACATTTCTCTATTTTATGACTTCCCCTCCAAAAACAAAAGAAATAAAAGAAAATGAAAAGTGCCAGTTTTAAATTAAATTTTAAGAGTGGCAATTTGAGATTGAGATTGAATTTTTTACTTACTCTATTTCTCCAAGTGACACATAAATTAACCTAGGATGTTTAAAGCAATCAATACTTGTCTACTAACTCTACAAATATCTCCAAAGCATCTGCTACATGCCAAATACTGTAAGTCACAGTTCTGGTCCCCAAAGAACTCATTTTTCAATTGCTTTCATGTTTTAAAATGTATTTATTTTTACTGTGACAAAATACAGATAATATGAAATTTATACTTTAGCCATCTTTTTCTTTCCTTTATTGTTTTTTCCATTCTAACCACTTTAAAGTGTATAGTTCAGTGGCATGAAGTACATTCATTGTTGTGCAATTGCCAGAACTTGTCATCATTCCATTCTGAAATTAAACAATAATTCTTCAACCCTCATTTTGCCTCCTGCAGGTAATCACTATTCTACTTTGTGTTTCTATGAATTTGACTATTCTAGGTACTTCATGTAAGTAGAATTATACAATATTTGTCCTTTTTTGTTCAGCTTGTTTAACTTAGCATAATGTGTTCAAGTTTCAAGCATGTTGTAGCATGTATCCAAATTTCCTTTCATTTAAAAACAGAATGTTACAGGGCCTCCCCGGTGGCGCGGCGGTTGAGCGCTGGGTTGCGAAGCTGCCCGCGGCCTCTGCAGCGCCGGTTCGATCCCTGGCTGCTCCTCGGCCACCGGAGGAGGGTCCCACATGGCGCGCAGACCCCTCCTGCCGCCCGCTGCTCCCCTCAGCAGTGTGCTTCGGTCCTTCTGCCTGCTCTGCTCCCCGCTCTGGCTCTGGTGAATTCTCTCACCCTCCCGTGCTTCTGACTGTACCCAGTGCATGTATAAACAAAACAAACAAACAAACCAGCAAACAAATAAATAAAGCATGCCTCTATAAAAAAAAAAAAAAATTGCATTAAAAACAGAATGTTACATATTATACATACACTATATGTATTATACATATATATACACCACATTTTGTTTGCCTTCAATTAATTTACTTTTTATTAAATAATCTCTCATTTTATTTCTTCCAAAGAGCTACCACTAAGCTTTTTAAATTAATTTTTTTTATGATAGTGTCTAGAGCATCACAGTCACTTTCCAGATGCCAGTTTCTTGTTTTTGCTGCCAATACCCAAAATATGAGATGCCTTCTTTTATGGGTAGGGTCCTGCAAAAAAAAACCCTTTTCTTCTGTATTTCTCTTAATAAGTTATCAGGGCAATTTTACATATTTTCAAGTATCTTTTTCTTAAGTAATAATTTCTAGTTTATGTACAGTCAGAAGTATCTGCAGTCAGGTAATGACCTAAAGAATTTACTTTGGATATCATCAATTTTTGGTTTCTTTATTTGGGTAGTATCTCCAGTTCACCTTGACTAATCTGCAAGTTTATTTTGCTCCAGGATCCATGTGCCTAGCTTGCCCAGATATTTACATACCTTTCTTAATCTAGCTCATTCTCTCATGTTTTACTGTATTCCTTTCCTTTCTGTTTTCTATGGCTACTTTATTATTTGTCTTAAAAGGACACCTAGTTCAGTTTTTAATGAACCAGTTACTACTAAATTGAACAGATTATAGGCAAGAAACTATACTGGGTACTGACTATTTATGCCATCATGATCCATTTTCTTTCAAGAAACAAGAGTTCCTTACCCAAATTAGTTATCTGTGCCTACCCCTCATTTAATACAGGGTACAAATATTTATAAGGAGATTTGACATTCATGACCATATCTGATATTAGTAGTCTGCAGAGCACTTTGCAACACCAGATGTTCAGGAAATATTATTATGCTCTAGTATAGAGGTAACATAGGCATGGAGGCAGTTACTAGATAGTAATTTCAAAAGAACTTTGAAGGAGTAAGCATAGTGAATTTAATCAACATTTTTTCAGTTGAAAAGCCACATTAGCTGATCAGAAACCTGAAGGATACCACTTTTTTTTCCCTCAGAAATCTAACATACCCAGGGATTGCTATGGTATTCTCCCCAGTTTTACTTGGGTGTCAAACATCTGATGTGGCTAAGCACTACAAAATGAAATTCCTATTGAATTAATGAAGGCAGAAAAAGAAATGATGGGAAAGTTATCAACACCCATCAGGCATGTTTCCACATGTCCTCCACCACAGATACGGTCCTCCACCATTTTTTCCACTCTAGGGTCAGATATAAACTTGAGAGATAAAGGTCTGGTGACCGATGGTGTCATATTAACTGAAAATAGAAATGCGGTATTTCCCTTTCAGTCATATACTACCCATTAAACGACTTAACTGTTTTTTTAATTTTATATATTTTTTACATCATTTTTCAGTTTTGCACAATGTATGCATTTTCATCTTGGTTACAGTCCCCATACAATTCCCACCCCCCTTGTTTTGATCCTACTCCCTCTTCCCTCCCCCCACCCCCAGTGTATCTCTGGTTTATAGTTGCTTATTGATTTTGATTTTTACTTTATTATAATTAATCTTTTTCCTCGTCCCTTATTCAGGTTTTCTAAATTCCTGCTATGACTGAGACCATCAAGTATTTTTCTTTTTCTTTCTGGCTTATTTCGCTGAGCACTATTTACACTAGCTAAGCTATGAAAACAACCCAAATGCCCAAAAATAGATGACTGGATCAAGAAGATGTGGTACATACCCACAATGGAATATTACTCAGCAGTCAAAAAAGATAAACTCATGCAATGTGCAGCAACATGGATGGAGCTGGAAGGGATCATGCTTAACTGGTCATTTTTCTTGAAAAAAACAATTCATTTACAGTGTTTCCATGAAGCTGTGAAGTTGCTTTTCTACTTCACAGTGAGGGAAGCAAGATGCACAGCAAAAAGCGTCACCATCAGCTAATTCCTCACCAACAATGGAAAAAGCCGCGAACAACATGAATTCCGAACCCACTTCGGGGGACAAAATTGCGGGGGGGGAGGGTGGAAGGACGTACAGGCAAAATTACCTTAATTAGGCCGAAACTTCAAGACTTTCCTACAGCCTAAAACCCACCAATTTTCTGAACAAAGAAGTCACGCAGGGGTGGGCTGAAGCGAATGGCCTCGCCCACCGCGCGGCTGAGACCACTGAGCGCACCCCATCACCGCCTAAGTCAGTCTTGGGGGGTCCTGCACCCGGCCCCTGGGCACTGACGGCTCCGGGGCCGGTAGAGCTGCAAGTTCCGCCAGGCGCTCGGAGGGCGGAGAGAGTGGAGGAAACCGGACCTACGAGCTCTGGCGGGATTACGAGAGCGGGCGAGGAGCCTATCACGTCAGCCCAACTCTCCGTACACGCTCTCCCAGGCGCCCAACTAGGCTCCGGCCCATACCTTCCGCCCAGGTGAATCCCCACGGCCAGCGCCGGGCTCCGAGCGCCCCTAGCAACCACCTGTAATTCAAAGCGGAAGGACGGCCCTTGTCCCGCCCTCCCTGGCCCGAGGGGCCAGCACGTTGGCCCAATCACCTCGGCGGGAACTACGGCCAACCAATAGGAGGCAGGCGCGGAAGGGCGGGCCGAAGGGGTCGCGGCGGGCGCACGCGCAGTCGGGAGCAGGGCCTGGGGAGTGTGGCGGGCGGCCGAGTGAGCGCTGCTGGACTCGTGTGGCCCTCGGACGCCTGGTGTAGCGGCTCCCGCCTTCGCCAGCCCTCGCCATGTTCCTCACCCGGTCTGAGTACGACAGGTCTGTGCGGCTGGCGGGGAGAGGGTCGGTGTTCTGTGTGGGCAGGCCCGGGGCCCGGCCGCGGCCCGGGTTCTGCCGTGTCATGGGGCGCCCCGAAACCCGAGTCCGGCCCGGCCCGGGGCGCCCCTGCCCCCCCGCAGCCGCCCGCCGGGAGCCCCTGAGCCAGGCTAGCGCCTTGTCGGCCCCTCAGCCTGCCGCTGAGTCACCGCCGGGCCCTGACTCGGTGCGGAAGCGAGGAGCTCCGTTTTGTGCGGGGGAACCCGGGCGCCCGAGGGGCCGGACTCCGACCTTTAACCCGGGCCAGGCCGGGGGTCAGCCCTTCCCCGCCCATCCTTGCGTGCTGTCTGGCTGCCTTTCAGAAGATGTAAACGTCCACCGGGGAGGAGGAAACAACTGGAGATTGGGGGCTTGGGCATTTCCACTCCCTTTTAGGAGAACAACCTCGTTTCCCACCCCTTAGGCGGGGGCTGGGGGAACCTTCCCTTGGAGATGTACTTGGGCGTGCTGGGATGTGTGGTTCCTGCAGAAGTGCAGAGGCAGCCTCGGGTATGCCGGAGAGAGAGTCTGGGGTCTGACTGTAGGAGCTGGAATTTAGAGTAAGACTCAGGAGTTTGCCAGTCACGCTGATTTCCACTAGACCGGAGCTTTTTCAAAAAGTTTGAAGCAAGTTAATTACAGTGTGTGTTGAAGGCCAGATCTAATGTTTTCGAAAATCAGGATTGGTGATTGTAGTATTTATTTTAAAGAAAAGCTTTTCAAGGCTTCGGGGTATTAAGTGATATTAAATTGTACAGATTCATGCTGTAGACATTTTTATTTTCAGTTTCAGTTTTGGTCAGTTAAATTTGCACATGGCTGTTAAGTCCTCCCCCTCCCAGTTAGGAAAGGCAGATGTTTTCTTTGAACTACATAGCTTAAGAAGCTGCATTTGGCAAGCATATGTTGAGCTTGTGAAAAGTTTGATCACTGGGAACTACCGCTTTTTTACTTGTTTGCTGACTTAGAGAGGCTGTATGTGGCATTTTAAAACTGGCATTTTCCTCTACTGCCTTACAAATAACTTTGTTAGTCAGTATTTAGCTTCCAAAGCGTGGAATATAATTTTGAGCTAGAGTATTTATTATGATGGAAATTGCTATTCTTATCAGAAAGCCTTCATTCCATTTTTGTGTTCGTTTACTCAGCATCTTTATTGATTTGTGTTTTCAATTTTTGCCTAAGAATGCCTTATATACGGCCCTTTTTATTAGCTGATGTGCTTGAATGCCTGCTGTGTATAGGCACTGTTTTAGGTGCTGGACACACAGCAGTGAACAAAGTGAGGACCCTTATTCTGATATGGGAAGCTGACTTACAGAAATAACTAGTATGTTTTAGTGTCACCAGAAAAACTTAAATCAACTCTATGGGAGTTTAGATGAAAGGTTGCACTTAATATCAGGGGAGTGTGGAAAACTTCACTGGAGCTGATATTTTAAACTGAGTTTTGAGAAAGAATAAGATTTTAATAAACATGTATAACGATGGTCAGTAGTTTTGAGGCGTAGAATATAGACTGAACAACGATGGGGCAGTGGGACAGCACAGTATATGGAAAATTCTGGTCTGGTTGGTACATGTGATACACATATATGGGAACAGAAAAAAAATAATATGTGAGAAACAGGATAGCATTAAATATTGGGTGGTTTTTAATATGTTGTTAAGGAGTTTGGGTCTTAGGTAGGTAAGTTTGGGTCTTACTCTGTAGGTAACTGAGTGCCATTAATTTTCATTTTTAGAAGTTACGTAATCATAAGTGTGTTCTATAGAGATTGATGAGATTAGAGCAAAGAGCATGTCAATACCAGGCAGGCTGTTATAACGGGTGAAAGGTAATGAGGACATTGAGAATGGAAGGAAGAGAATGCTAAGTTACTGTGGAGGGGAAGTTGATATGAATTGCTCTGATTTGGTATATGATTAATATGGGCGAAGTCGGAGTAGAATGAATCAGATCATTCAGAACTTTGTAGCTTGGGGAATTGGAGGGGCTAGAGGGCTTTTAAAAACAAAGTAAAAATGGCAGGTGGTAAAGCTGATTTTGAAACTGTTGAGTGTTCAGTGCTTGTGGGGTATCTTATAATAAGTGGAAATGCTCAGGAGACTGTATAGATAGGAAAGATGTCAGGTTGGTAATAAGTATTTGGAAGTAGTTGGCCTCAACTTTCTCGTCTGTAAAATAGTATCTGTGTTAGAGTACTATCTTATTTAGGTGTGTTTTGAGGATTTGTGAGTTAAATTATTTAAGAGTTTTTAACAGTACCAGGAATATCATAGATATGTAATATGTGTTAATTTTTATTTTCTGTTCTGTATTTTGATAAGTTTTTTTAAACAAATTTGAAAACCCTGTACTATATCTAATGTTACATGTTATAAAATCTACACTCCATAAACCAAGAATCATAACTTTCACTCACTTTTTCAAATATTTTTAGCTGAAAGCTTTTATAACACAGGCCATGATTAGTGCTGCCAAGAGATTTCCAGCACAGTGGAACAAGGAAAAGTGGGGAAGTATTTTAGAGAGAAAAGCATTGTGATGTGTAATTGGTATAAATACGTATTGGGTGAGTGAACCAGGTAACCAGGTTAAGTTTGAAGAACTACACAGATGTCAGCGTATTGTTAAAAATAACAATACTAATTCATACAAAGAAATAGAGAATTATACCCATAAATGACTTTTCCTAAAAAGTAAGTTATTAACATCAGATTCACCTATGGTAATGTAATAAGGGAAATGCACATTGGAGGGGGGAGGGTTGCCTGATAGTTTGGGAGCATGAATTTGCCAAAAGAATTCTAGATTGAATTGGGATTGAGACAGAAAGTCATCAGCTATCACTTAAATAGTTTGAAGTCTTCCTGGGGAAAGTATGTCATGTATAGCTTCCATTTCCTTGAAAAACTGTTAATGTACCAAAAAATAGCTACAGATTATTGTGGGCAAAGGAGGATAATATCAACTTACACATCTTATAGCCATCTGAGCTGGATATTAAGGAATTTGAGTTTAGTGTCTCTGATTTTTTTCTGGAAAAAAAATTATGTATTTTTTCTAAATTATAGGGGCGTGAATACGTTTTCTCCTGAAGGACGGTTATTTCAAGTGGAGTATGCCATTGAGGCTATCAAGGTATCGTATCAAGTGGCATCGTTCATGAAATTCTGTGACAACATAATGCTTTATTGACAGACTATTTGGATTCAGTGTGCTTTAACCATTCTCTTAGGAAATGTATTTATCGCTTTAAGCAACCATTTTCCATCATCTTTATAACAATTTCAGTTCCATTCCTAATATGTTTTAAAACTTTTTGAACAGATAGCTGCTTCATAATTTTGTAAGTAGCTTTTTTCTCAGTGTTATTGGAGGGACAAGTTTATGTTCATAATCTTCTTGGCTATAAGAGAAGAATATGGAAGTCCAGAGTTAATACCTGAGAGATATTTTGTGGTCTTGAACAAATCATTTAACTGATCACCTTTATTCTTGTTGGTAAGTTGTGAATTTGTACTAGACACTTTCAGGACTGAATAAGAGATGTGTTCTGTAATCTAGTAATAAAATGGAATAGTTCATACCAATGTTCAAAAAATAAGTTAAAAGTAAGATATCTGTACTTAAAGTTACTTGTCATGTAGGAGCTATAGTTGCTGAATTATGGGCAGTCTAATTTAAGTTGTCTATGATAGTTCCAGGCATCTGTATTTTTAAGGAGTCCCCCGGTGATTCTCGTGTCTAATAAGAGGTGAAAATTACTGATCTTGTCCAGACCGTCTCTCTATGCTTCAGTCTCTTCTGAATTTCCAAACAACCTTTTATTACTAGATAGCTCATTTTGTTTGAAAATCAATCATAATGATTTAGAAATTTATCCTTGCATTGTATCAAAAGTCTGGCTTTTTGAAGTTTTCTTCATTTGAACCTAGTTTTGCCTTCGAAGAACACAGGATATTTAAACCTCTTCCATATGACCATTCTTCCCATAGTTAAAGAAAGCTGATGTTTCCCTCTAAGTTACCTTTTTAAGGAAATGTGTAATTGGGGAAATGGTTGTATGAGAGTCTGGAGAAGGGCAAAGTGATTCTGAAGAGTTGACATAAAAGTGAAGGTGGCAGCACTGTGATCAATAGTGAAACAGAATAGGATGGGCCAGCTGCAAGTACCTGTCAGTTTCTGATCTTTGCCCAGTATCACAGTCATACATTACTATGAAGTGGAGACTATCTCAATTCCAAGCTATGGCATTTATTTTGAGCCTTAGCTAAGACAACAGATCTGCCCAGATGTGGAAAGCAGTAGTCCTCTGTTTTTGGATTCTGCTTTAAGCCCCTCAATGCTAGTAATTTTGGGATTGCTTTGAGATAATAGGATGGTACCTGATCTCTGTAACACCAGGTTGGGCTAGGATGGAAATGGTGATGTGTCCTTAATGGATGCGACTTAACCTTTGTGAAAATGTACTCTTTGGCATTTAAACTGCCTTTTGCTGTGCTTAATTTACCAGTAGCCAATGAAAAGGCAATTTTCAACAGGTTTAGTAAGTGTGAAAGATGCTGGAGAAATCAGCCAAAAATGTCTGACAAGTAGAAATTGTCACTTAGAGATACTGTATGGATGGTATTGGTAAGAGATAGCCAGCAAAGGTGGGGAGAAAATACCTTTAGAGTGGATTTCTTGGGGGTGAGAGTGAAAAATCTGTGACGGTCAAAATTATTATACTTAGCATCTAGACATTGGTTATTATGCTAGTGAGTTTTTTTTAAAGAAATACCATGTGGAGTCAGTTCAGATGTTCCTTTTTCCCGAGTACCCACCAAGGGGTTTGGGGGGAAGGAGAAATTGTAAGCAGAATTGTAATATTGAAATACCTGGGGTAAATGTAAGTGCAAAAGAAAATAAAATTGATTTTAATTTTTAAAAAAATAGCCTGTCTCAAAAATATTGACCCTCTTTTTGGAATGAAAGTTTAGGAATTTATTTAAGTTGGAGGCCATATTGAACAGACTGAGAATTTATTCTTGTGGTGTGAAGCACTTCCTCCACAGAATAATAATAGTATCCAGGGAATATTGACTTTATAGAGCAGATAATTCTTTGTTGTGGGGGGCCATGTCATGCATTGTAGGCTGTTTAGTAGCATCCTTGACCTCTCCTCATTAGATGCCAGTGACACTCATCCTTCTAGTTGTGACAACCAAAGATGTTCAAGACTTTGTCTAATATTCCCTAGAGGGTAAAAAGGGTCCTGGTTGAGAACATCTCTTACGATAAAATTTAAAAGTAATGTGAATTCTTTCCTGCTCTGTTCAGTCTTCGTGATTCAAGATAGTACACTACATAAAACAATTAGGAAACAACTAAGTGCTAAATTAAATTCTCTGGCAATGGTTTCTGATGTGTTCTATTTTCTTTTAAGGTATGCATGCAAGTAGTGTTAAAGTCAAAAACTAAAAGTTTTCTAAACCTTGTAACAAAAGTAACTGTCCCTTAAACCTGCCTTCTTTATTTTCAGCTTCTCAAAGACAGCACTTTCATAGCCTTTTAACTGATAATTTTCTTGGCATTTATTCCATATCTCTAAAATAGACTTGAATTTTTTTTGTTTAGGTAATATCTATAGATGAAGATTTCTGCTTGCAATCTCCCCCCCTCCTCAAAACACACACACACACACACACACAGAGTTTTCTGTTGGTGTGTGGGTAGGACAACTCTTATTAACTTAAAGGTCTCATAATTTTACTAGATCATTATTCAGCATTTATATTTGTATGAATATGTAAATGCTCTTCCCAACTGAGCCATTTTTCGCTTTCTGTACACTGTTGTTTTCCTGGGAGTTAATACTTCTCTTTTTTTAAAAAAAAGTTTGCTTAGTTTAGCATGTAACATATCAATAATTCATCCCCCAAGTCTCAGTGTACCTCTCAAAATATCCAGACATATTAAGTATCCCATTAAAGATTCTTACAAAAGTTTTTGAGCCTTCAGAGCTCTTTCAGTCTTGACTAATTGTTCTCTGGCCCTCTGCATAGCTGTGTACCTAGGTGCTTCTGTCACCATAATCTTGGGTATCGCCTTCAGCTCTCTCTTCTATTACAACTATGTCATTTTCTTTTTTGATGTATTCCTTCACTTTAGTAGGACCCATTCTCTAATAGTTTCATAAACATATTTTTAATTTCTAAGGTCCTTTGTTTCCTGTTCTTTTATTGGGGGTGGGAGGATGAAATGTCTATTTTTTTTTTAAATTGAGGATTAAAAATTGATTTTTCTTTAGTTTTTTTTCTTCTTGAACTAGTTAGACTCATAAGAGCCCTGTCTTTCAGAGTGTAGGTGTTAACCCGTTAGTGGGCATTGAAATCAATTTAATGGGTCATGGGAGCATTTCCTTTTGAAGAGGAATAGAGGTGTGGCTCTCAGAAGGCATAGTCTTGGCTGGTATTTTTGTTTTGTTAGCCATGAAATTGTGTTTCTGTTACATTTATTTATTTGTGTATTTTGGTCATGATTTGTAATTATGTATATTTTTTAATTGAAGTAACATTGCATTATAACATTATATAGGCATCAGATGTGCTCATTAAAAAAATTATTGTATATTTATGGGCCTCCCTGGTGGCACAGGGAGTTAAGAACCGCACTATGAAGCAATCCGCAGCCTCTGCAGCATGAGTTCGATCCCCAGCCGGCCAGGGAGATACCCACATGGCGCAGCAAATCTCTCCTGTCACGCCCGCTGCTCCCCGGAGCAGTGTATTTCAGTCAGTCTACCTGTTTTGTTCCCCACTCTGTCTCTGGTTGGTCCTCTCACCCCCTGCATCTCTAGCCTATACCCTAGCTCTTGTAGGCATAAATAAATAAATCTTAAAAAAAAAAAAAATCAATGTATATTTATGACATTTAATTTGCCACCAAAAGTTTCATGCTGTTTTTCACCATACAGTTGACCCCTTTTACTGATTTATTCACCTTTCTTCCTCTTCTCCTCTAGTAACCTCTAATTGGTCTTACAGTCTAATAGTTTTTTTTAAATAAAATATATTTCTTAATGTAGAAATTTGGTTCAAAAGTTTGAAAATCACTGTTCTAGAGAAAACTGCCTCTTCTCATTTCATGCCTGCAGGCAGGGGATTTCTGAAAACTGAGTGGGTAAAGATGCTGTGGTTCTTAATATTAAGTTTGTCATTTTTTTCTTAATCCCTTTCGTCATTGTAGTTCTGTCTTTGACTGTGCGTGGTATCCCCCAATCCAAAAATCCTGTTTTACCCTCTCGAGAGTCCTGTGCAGGAGTGAGGCTGGGGGCTATTATCTATTGAATAGCTTTAGAACATAGTGGAGGGGATCTGAAAATCTTTTTTTTAAGCAGATATTAAACTAATTGTGCAGTTTTTAGCTTCTCCATTTCTTTTTCCACCATTCCTTTTTGGGGGCCTATGATATAAATCAGGTTGTTTCTTGACTTTCTTTACTATTGATTTAGGATTTGGATTTCTCAGGTCTACTATGTAAAATATTACTAACCCATTTCTTTCTTTGAAATTTTAATGCTGTCTTTGTCCATGCTCTTTGTCTTAGTGGGTCTGGCTCCTATAATTTTATGTTATCAGGCTTCGGGAAGCAATAGAGCTAATTTATGTGTTTAGCCTACCTTTAATTAGAAGTACGAGCACATATTTTTTACATAAAATTCTTGGACAGTTCATCTCCTCTCGTTATGCATGTATCCATTGAATTAAGAAAATATGCAGTAAAAAGCTGATATACACATTAAATAACACTTCTAAATAAAGTGCAATTTTACTCATTTGAAAAATAATACATATGTGTATGACACATGATTTTTCAGTCTGCAAATGTGTTAAGCATGTTAACAACCTAATCCCACTTCTCTCATAACTTTACTATTCATTATTCTCCAACAAAATTCCTCAGGTACAAGCCCCACCCATTTTCTTATGCCACATTGCCCCCTACTCTTGCACTGCATTACCCCCTACACTTGTACCTCTGCTCATGCTATCCACCCTGGAATATACACTTCCCTCTGCCTAATCAATCTCGGTAGAAAGATTCATGGAGGGCCTCCCAGGTGGCGCAGCGGTTGAGCGCTGGGTTGAGAAGCTGCCCGCAGCTTCTGCGGCGCCGGTTCGATCCCCGGCTGCTCACCGGCCACCAGAGGAGGGTCCCACATGGCGCGCAGACCTCTCCTGCCGCCCGCTGCTCCCCTCAGCGTTGTGCTTCGGTCCTTCTGCCTGCTCTGCTCCCTGCTCTGGCTCTGGTGAATTCTCTCACCCTCCCGCACTTCTGACTGTACCCAGTGCTTGTATAAACAAAACAAACAAACAAATAAATAAATAAAATAAAACATGCCTCTATAAAAAAAAAAAAAGAAAGATTCATGGAATTGTTTGAAATCTATTGCAGTAACAGGCTTTAGGAGTTTGATGCCTACATTTGCAGTCATTGCTTTGTGGAGTAAACTAAGCATCATGTAAATCAAAGGAGACAGCACCTACAATCACAAAAGGCTTTATGAATGATGGGTGAGATTGATTAGGCAGAGGGAAGTGTATATTCCAGGGTGGATAGCATGAGCAGAGGTACAAGTGTAGGGGGTAATGCAGTGCAAGAGTAGGGGGCAATGTGGCATAAGAAAATGGGTGGGGCTTGTACCTGAGGAATTTTGTTGGAGAATAATGAATAGTAAAGTTATGAGAGAAGTGGTATTAGGTTGTTAATGAGGACTCTGGTAGCCTGTTTAGATTTTATGTTATGGGCAATACAGGGATATATTCTTCAGAAAAGTAGTAGTATAATGAAAATAACATAAGATCTGTAAGACCATAAATGAAAGGTACATTGGGGGAGAGTAAGGTTGTTGAAGTAATCTAGGCCTATAATAAGAATAACTAAAACTTTGTTTACTTATTGTTTTAGACAGCTATTTTAGGAGCTTTTTGTGTAAGTGTGTTTACCCTTCGTGATGTCGGTATTGCTATTATCCCTTTTGCAGATTAAGGTAACTGCAACATAGAGGGTTGAATGACTGGGATGGTAGTGTGGAGATGGAGAGATGAGATTAAGCTATTGTGGACTACTGGTGACCTTAAAAGTTAATATTTTTATATTGGTGGTATTCCTTTTTCTTATTTTTCTTTGTTTTTGAAAAGTAAATTACTTTTCTGAAGGTCACATACATTTCAGGATTATCACCTTTTGAGACAGTTCAGATAGCAGAGATGACACCAGGTCCAGAAAAAAACATTCCTTTTATTTCTTTCTTGCTCACTATGTTTAGCACTTTAGAATCTGCCCCTCATTCACATTAGAGTCGATAATTTCCTAGATGTTTTCAAGATGTAATTGAACTTAAACCTTTAGAAGTACAAAATTCTGTAAATCAATGCTCTTGCCATTGACAGTGACAGTACATTAAAACTCATTAGAATGTTCTTTATTCTCTCAGCATATTAGATATGGCTGATTGAAGCGTCTAATGTGTGAAAGTACACAGAAACACTCTGGGTGAGTAGGTGAGACTGTTCTTTGACCAGTATGTGATAACCATACTTGTTTTACTTTAGCTTGGTTCTACAGCCATTGGGATCCAGACTTCAGAGGGTGTGTGCCTTGCCGTGGAGAAGAGAATTACCTCCCCACTCATGGAGCCCAGCAGCATTGAGAAAATTGTAGAGATTGATGCTCACATAGGTAAGGAGTAGGGAAGAGTTGTTCTGTAGGATCTGACCTGGGTGAATTAAGTCATCTTTGAAGGTCCAAGGGAAGCGTCATCAGATGAAGGTCTTGTTCCCTTGTTAGCTGTGGTATTCCAGGCAGTAGGCCAGTGCATTATATAGAGAGTAGGGAGCAGTTGCAGATTCACTTGGATTTAACTTGGTCCCAGAGGTAGGTTGTGTTTAACCTACTCCTTTCTTCCTCACATTTAGACTTGGCAGATATGGTGGTGGTTGAAATATGTGAAGGTTGAATCATAGACCAGCTCCCCGTGATGGCTGATCATTGATGCATAGTTAGCTCTGTAGGAGGCCAACAGGAACAGAGGAATTATACAGAAAGCTAGGGTGTGCACTGAGAAAAGAGGAATGCTTAAAGATCTTTGGGGTGACTAAGGTTCAGAAAGTACAGAATAATAGATTTTGCCCATATCAGTCCTTCTTCGCTATTTCCAATTTTATCTTTTTATTCCCTCTTCCCCTCACCCATACTCCCTTTTTCATCTCCCTTATAATTCCTGTCTTAGCTTCTGGCACCATTGTAGCATTACAGGATGAGTTGTTCTACTTATTTATAGCATGGCATTTTAGTTGACTGTCCATATTTTTTTTAACCTATCTGACCATCTAATTAATGCCACATAGATAAGATAATTGCTTGAAGGCATCAGAACCCATGGTGACTCTGGGAGCTTGACATCTCTTTCATAGATATTTATGATGCAGTGATCAGATTAAGATTAGAATTTTGTGCCTATTTTATCTTCTGTCACCTATCCTGGTGTAACTCAGTATCACTTTATCCAGCAAATTGAGAACCTACCTATGTGCCAAACAACACAGAATCAGAAGGAATGAGACATGGTCCCTGTCTTCTTGGAGCATACAATCTAATCGTGAAAGTGGACATGTAAATAAGTAAATGCAGGTGTTAGGAGGGACTGTGGTATGTTCTCAGTGGGGGTGCAAAGGAAGGAATAATTAGTTTTGTGTGACACTGTCAGGAAGGTATTCCATGAAGTTGGTGCATGAACTAAGTTGAATTCTAAAAGCCAGGGAAGTGTTTATTAAGTGAAAAAATGGGTGGAGCAGGGTAGAACATTGTAGTCAGAAACAGAAATGAGCAAGGCTTTGTTGGTATAAAATATAAAATACCATCACACAGGTAGTTTGGTATGAGTGGGAGATGAACTGTGACAAGAGATGAGTCTGGGATTATGCAGTGGAAGTTCTTTTTACGGTGCTAAAGAACTTAATCCTTTTGCACTGATAGGAAAGGTTTTAAGCATTGAGGTAACATGATGAGATTAGGATTTTAGAAAGACCTTTGTGATCACAGTGTTGAAGATAGAGTGAAGGGAACTGAGGATGGAGTTAAGAAAACCAGGTAAGAAACTTTTTTTGCTAGTCCAACAGAAAGATGATAAGGATGTTAAGGTGCAGTGACCAGAAAACGGAGAAGTAAGGACTAATTCCAGACAGGTTCATCAGATGGAGACCTATAGAATTAGGAATCTGGTTAGAGGGCCAACAAAGATACTGACGTCTAGAAGGGAAATAACTTTGAGTTGAGTCTGTGGTATATGCAGGTAGGTGCATTAAGGGAGTCATTGGCTTTATAGGTCTGAAATGTGGGAGAGAGACAGGCTGGAGATTCAGGTTTGAGTTACAGCATATGAAGAACAGCCATTGACTTGGCATCTTGGACCATCAGGCAGGCTTTATCTCTGCTATAACAAGTTGTTTTATATTTGGTCAGGGAGAAGATAAATCTTTTGATTTTTAATCTAGGATCTTCCATTGTAGCTCAATGAGATGATTATTTTTTCCTTGTTTCTCCTTTTGGGGTGTTAATGTTTGTTTAGTTCAAAAGTGCTCTAGAAGACATGGCCAACGGAGAGTGCCAAGGGGACGTCTAAGGATGTAATATATGGAAGTGCGTATTCGAGTAGCTGTTCTTCTGTCTGCTGCTATCTTTGTCTTGTGGGTAGTTTTTATTTATTGGTAATATAATTTATTTGTGCTCAGTGCTGATAATTTCCCATCTAATCTCGTGAGTATGTTGCTGTGGTATTGCTGAATTACTGCCATGGTTCCATTTCAGAATTTCAGTATTTCTTGAGTGGATAAAGAGTTGTACCAGGATTTGGCCACTGGGTCACTGTTACTTTTACATTGCAGGTTGTGCCATGAGTGGGCTAATTGCTGATGCTAAGACTTTAATTGATAAAGCCAGAGTGGAGACACAGGTAAAATTAGCATCATCTCTCCTTTTTTACTGTGATGCTTGAATTCCTTGTTTAGTGATGATGCAGCTGCCTGGGCTGTATTGCAGGTCTCTGTGTTAATATTAGATATAGCCCTTGGGAGAGATTTTTGGGTAGAATTTCTATTTTTAACTTTCTGAGGCTTGGAGTCTAGCCATCCAACCATTGAACTTTTAAGGCTGCCCTAGTAAATAGTGCTGACAATCCATTGCCTTTTTTTTTTTTTTTTTTTTTTTTAATTTACCTTACATAAAGCAACCTTTACACTGCATTCTGTACCCTAATTGACTTTCTGTGGCAGCACCATAGCAGGTGAACATAGCTAAAGGACATTTCTCCCTCAACCCCACCCCCAACTGCCTTTGCTGCTATACTTGCAAATAACAACTCTCCTGTAGTGAGTAGTGATAGGTACCAGCTGACAAATACTGATTAGGAATACTGATTGTGTTGTTTTAATACTGAACTCCTGCATTCAGGCATGAAGAATAGACTAGTAAGGAAAAAAAACCTGATTGGTAAAATTTTTTGTACTTATTTGCAGGTCTGCTGTCAGTACTTGCATAAGAGTAAGTCATTTAACTTAAACACCAGTAGAGTGATGAAACGATTTTTTAGAGGACGTGGCACTCAATTATTAGCAATCACTTTATGAAAAGACTAACCTTGGTGCTTTGAGGGGTTAACTCCGTTTTCCCAAGGGAGTATCCTTCAGTTTGTCATTGCTTCCAGTCCTTTTGATACAAGTTTTTGCCAGAACTATTTCTCTTCCTCTCAGGCAGGCCAAGCATTCAAGTTTAGAACTAAGGAGAGCATACAGGAGCTTGAGCTACTATTCAAAGGGATATTGTAGTGAGATGATGGGCTGTTTTAACTTATTTGAAAGGTAGACCATGCTTTGCTCCTCTTTCAGAACCATTGGTTCACCTATAATGAGACAATGACAGTGGAGAGTGTGACCCAAGCTGTGTCCAATCTAGCTCTGCAGTTTGGAGAAGAAGATGCAGATCCAGGTGCCATGGTGAGTGTGATACTCATGTCAGGTTTTTTTTATTGTATTTGGAACTTAGGATATTTGTCCTTGGGACATACCTTGCCCAGCCCCTCTTGCTTCATAGCCTTTTGTCTTACTACCTCTTGCATTTTGTTCCTAGTCTCGTCCTTTCGGGGTGGCACTGTTATTTGGAGGAGTTGATGAGAAAGGACCCCAGCTGTAAGTAACATTTTGCCATTTCCCCCCTGCTTCCTTTTTGGGAGAATTATTTTAATTTGGGATAGGGACTAATAGTTTATATCAACTGAGAAGTTTGTTACAGAATACAGTGATTCTATACTGCCCATGCTCTTATGCTCCCCCTATTAGAACCATTGTTTATTCTGGAAAGAAAGAGAAGTAACTTTCTTGTGTTTGAGAACTTTCATTTAGAGTATTGATTTGATCCCTGTCCTCAAAAACTACTTAGATAGGCATATTCAAATGCCATATTTACATATCCTATGCTATACGTGAGTCTAAATTTCTGAGGAAATTACTAGTTTTCTTAAACACTTTTTGAAGACCTGGTTTAACCAAGCATAGAACATCTTCTGGATCTGTGCTTCAGTATTTTGGTGGAGTTTCCTGACTGCAGGGCAAAACATTCATATAGTTTAGTGAAATTATATTTATTACATATTATATTAATTACATATTATTATATTATTACATATTCATTACATAAAATGCCACATTCTTAAGCATTTTAATCCTCTTTTGGGGGCGGTGGGTTTACAGATTTCATATGGATCCATCTGGGACTTTTGTACAATGTGATGCTCGAGCAATTGGCTCTGCTTCAGAGGGTGCCCAGAGCTCCTTGCAGGAAGTTTACCACAAGGTAATTAAACATTCTGACAACTTTTATTTCTTAAATGAAGGTATAATTTACATAACAATAATATGTGTAAGCCTTATGAGTTTGCTTCTATGAATTTTGACAATTGTATATCCTTGTAACCACAACTAAAGCAAGCTACAGAACACTTCCATCACCCCCCAGAAATGCTTGTCTCCTCTCCATCCAGTCTTTCCGTCTCTTGCAACCGTAATCACCACTATAGATTAGTCTTGTCTGCTCTTATATTTTTAAAAAATGAAATCATAGAATAAGTATTTTTGTGTCTGCTCTTTTTTGTTCAACACACTGTTTTTGAGACCCATTCATGTTTTCCACACGTCTATAGTTTCTTTTTATTGCTGAATGGTATTAACGTGGTATAGATTTACCATGATTTGTTTGTCTTTCATCTTCACAGCTTTACTTAGCAGTTTGTAATTCCTAGTCTGGTTTTTGAAGCAGTGTGCATTTCGTACTTTTTATCTCTGGGGGATGGAAAGTCCCAGTTTTGGTTAACTCTTGTGGTTGAAGGCTGCCATACTTAGCATTCAGGAGGCAAGTGAATTAGGCACAAAAACAGAGTAAGAGAGGAGCAGATTTTCTAAATCATTGGACTATCTTCATAGATCATTTGAGAATTATTCAAAGTGTACATCAATATTATCTTACTTCTAAATTGAAAGAAAGTAATAGAGAAGTATAACCTTTTTTCCTTCAAAGATCACTTACCATATAGAAGTTGGTGAGTTTGTTCTGGTTCAAAATAAAGCTTTTCTTTTTTTTTTTTTTTTCTCTGAGTAAATGTATCCTACTTGAGTTCTGGATATATGTGTAAATGCACTGTATTTATTAATATCTTTGGCTTATTAATGTTTACTACATTATTTCTTCAAGGAGATACAAAGGAAATCTTTGATAAAAGAAAGGGTTATATGTAATTAATGGGTACTCTCCTTGCTCTTTTGTTTTAAGTCTATGACACTGAAAGAAGCCATCAAGTCTTCACTAATTATCCTCAAACAAGTAATGGAGGAGAAGCTGAATGCAACTAACATAGAGGTATTTTTCTGTCTTACTGATTTTTGTTCCAGTGTCATGTCCCCCGTTACTGAAGATTGAGTAGACAAAAGATAATCAAATTTTTGTATGCTCAGTTCATAAGAAGTTATTGATATACTTTGAATTAACAACTTTAATAAAGTGATAATGGCAAAAGCAGAATTCATTTTTGAAGAGTGAAAAGGAGGTGATGAAGTGGACTAGAAAGAAAGTATGCAGCTTTCTTGAATAAGTGTCAGCAGAAGACAACATTAAAAGGATTTTTGTCTTTTTAAAGTTGGAGAAAACCTTGAAAATATCATTAGCTTGAAAAGAAACATGTTAAAAGACATAAAAGCAGAGGTTAGATAGTGATGGGAAAGTTCTAGAAGAGGAAAAGTATGGTAGAGATGGAGGAATTAGTTTCAAAAAGTAAAATTTATTCATCATTATTTTGAGTGCCCAGTTATGTGCCAGATGCTATACTAGATGACAGATTCGAGTCCCTATGCAGGTAGTATACTGCATAAGATAGGGACGTACAAATAGTGACAGCTTGGGGTGATGATTCTGTAGTAGCAATGAGAACAGATTATCATGGGAAGATGTAGTGGGGCATTAGGAAAGGTTACTGGAAGAGGCGATGTCTGGACAAAGGAAGAGAAGGGTATTTCAGGAAGATGGAACTATGGTGTGCAAAAAATCAAAGATATAAAATAACATTGTACAGCAACGGAACTTTGAGGGTTTGTCTGCATGTGGGGTATGAGCTGTTTATGATGTGGGGAGGTGGCAAGAATCATGGATCAGATTCCGAATGCCCTTATTTAGGGTATTATGTGCAGACAGGAGTAAAGGAGGTAATGATAAGGTAGGTTTGGAGGTGAGTTGGGAGAGAAGTCCTCTATTTCCCTGGTGATTGTTAGATCTTTTGATGATGGTAGGTGAATGCAGCAATGAAAATAATGAGAATGGAAACTGGAGAATCATTACTGTTGGGGAAAAGGGAAGACAGGCATTGGGTACAAGAATTGCTGGACACATTAAAATACTAGCTGAGGCTGGAATCATTGGTCTCAGGAAATGAGGCTCAGTTACCTGTTTTTCTGAAATCTGGTGATTCTGGTAACTGGTCTAGTAAGTTCAGGCATTTGGGAACTGCTTTTCTTCATAAAAGGAAAATTTCCAAGTTGCATCTTTTTTTACAAAATCAAAACCAACAAAACCCACCTCTGTTAACCCCATCCTTTACCTAGTATCTGGCTTTTTCCTAAAAAACCAACTTTGTTGAGATAATAACATACATATTGTTAAATGTACCCATTTTAAGTATATAATTCAGTGAACTTTGGCCCCTGTATCCCTGTATCTATCACCGCAATCAAGATATAAAATATTTCTGTTGGGCCTCCCTGGTAGCACAAGGGGTTAAGCACAGCACTGTGAAGCTATCTGCAGCCTCTGCAGCGCGAGTTCACTATCCAGCCGGCCAAGGAGCTACCCACATGGCTCAGCAGATCTCCCCTGCCTGGCCCGCTGCTCCCCTCAGTCAGTCTATATGGGAAGGAGTAAATTGTTTAACATAATTTACAAAAATATTTGACATTTCATGTAATTGGGTAGGTCTTTTGGGAAGACAATTTTTTAGTATGTTCCTAGATCAGAATGTTCACATTTTTAAGATGTATAGTATTTTTTTCCCCTAAATTTTATCTGTAGATGAATCGGGGAATAGTAAATACAGTGAGGTTATATTAATTCCGGCAATTTTGAAATTGTATTAAATGTCAGTAATGAATGTTACTCAAAAAATGCCTTAGTATGTTTACTGTTAAAGTTTTTTTTTTAAGGTAGTACAAGGAAATAACATTTAAAATAAATGAAACAAAAATATTTTTTTTTTTTTATAGAGGCATGTTTTTATTTATTTATTTGTTTGTTTGTTCGTTCGTTTTGTTTATACATGCACTGGGTACAGTCAGAAGCGCGGGAGGGTGAGAGAATTCACCAGAGCCAGAGCAGGGAGCAGAGCAGGCAGAAGGACCGAAGTACACTGCTGAGGGGAGCAGCGGGCGGCAGGAGAGGTCTGCGCGCCATGTGGGACCCTCCTCCGGTGGCCGGGGAGCAGCCGGGGATCGAACCGGCGCCGCAGAGGTCGCCGGCAGCTTTGCAACCCAGCACTCAACCGCTGCGCCACCAGGGAGGCCCGAAACAAAAGATTTTTAGGCAAATGTGAAGTGGAATCTATTCCTGAGTATTGCCCAAAGCCACAGGACTATGTTCAGTAGGTAGAGGTGATGGAAAACCAGGCAGTTTTAGTTAAATTTTAAATTAACCATCTTCTGACCCTAGTCTTTTATTGCTTAAATATATTATAACCTGGACTACTGGGTATTATTAGTATCTTCAGCCACAACTGATTTTTTTATTATTAGTGTTTGATGAAACAAACCAGGTCATGACCAGGTCTTCCAAAAAAAATGGAAACAAGGGCCTTTTTGTTGTCCAGTTGCCCCATGGACAATTTTAGATAAAGTAATACCTAACAATAATAGTTAACAATGTTTTTGTGCTTATCACAGTGTTAGAGGTTTTCTGTTCTAAGCACTTTCCATATATTAATATATTTAATCCTTATACTACTCTGTAAATGTGGTGCTATTATTATCCCCATTTTACTGATAAAAATTGAGGCATCTAGTGGCCAAGTAACCCAAGGTCACACAAGTTTGGCTGCAACATATATTGTAAATATATTTCTGAAGGAATCTTTAATTAAAAAAAGAGAAAGTACTGACACCATGTAATTTACTGCTGTTTTTATAAGATCCTTGTGAAATATGTTAAAGATGTGACAATGACATCAGGCATTTGGTTAATTATTATGTGGTGGGTTAACCTCAAAATAGAAATTTTGGTCAATAAGAATTTTATTTTGGAGTCAGAGAGCTATTTTAGGAAGCTGCTGCTGGAAAGGATATCCCTAGGACAGCAGATCCCTTAGTTCCTAATGAACAGCTGCATCTCCAGCAAAGCTTCTCGCCATACTAGGGTTAGCAGCAGTTTAATTGAGCCCAGCTTGTTAACCCTTCTCTGTTTTCTTTCTAGCTAGCCACAGTGCAGCCTGGCCAGAATTTCCATATGTTCACAAAGGAAGAACTTGAAGAAGTTATCAAGGACATTTAAAGAAGTGTGATCCTCAGAACTTCTCTGGGACAATTTCAGTTCTCCTGATTGCCCTTAACTTTTATTTCCAGCAGTTATTCCCTGGAGAGTCTCCAGTATATGTGCATTTTTTTTATGATGTCTGTACATAAAGGCAGTTCTGAAATAAAGAAACATTTAAAATATTTGTTAATAGACTATCCTAATGCAGTCTTTTGTTCAAAATGTTTGTGTTAGGAGGTAAAAAGGACAGTGGTATTAATATCTCTATCAAGAGGATCTTTCTAAAGTTGTTTTAGTGACCACGACATAATGAACTATATCATGAATCCCTGGGTGTTGGCAAATGAATTCAAACTAGTCCAGCTCCTCTCAGTGCCTTATAAGTGTTAATATCACTGTAAACCTATTTCTACTCTGTAGTTCCTCTTGAGTAAATACATATTTTTGCTGCTTTCCTTAAATGCAGGAGATGCTAGTCATTCATCATCAAAAGAACACATTTTGAGAGTTGGGTTATAACAGCTGTTATAACAACAGCTATAATGTTGTTAAGTTTTTGTGTCTTAATTTGGAAAGAGATTTTATGAAGCTAAGGACCATAAAAGAATTCATGATATTGACCTTCCTGACACTCAGTTGTACATCAATAAGAGAATGGTATAATTCAGAAGTAGTTTACATTAGACTATGAACTTTCCTCATTAGAGGCACCATCATGTGTAGTTAAACAATCAATTTTTGAAGCCTCAAAAAGGGCCATATGAAGTAGATACTGTTCGGCTTGACAGATGAATCTAAGACAATGTGAGCATGAACACACAAAATTAAGCTGTTGGGACTTGAACTCAGATTTTCAGGTTTCAAATTACCACCTCTTGATGTTACAATGCCAAGTCTCTTGAAACCGAGTAAAAGGAAATTCTCATTGAGGTTTGAAATGTACTATCCACAACATGGTTAATCCGTATGTGGATAATGCAGAATTGTGTATTACCGTCATTAACATTAGTGGATAGTTAACGATATCAAAGTAAATTCTGACTGTTTGAGTAAATTCATACTCATCCTGTAGTTCCCAGTCAACAATTGATGCTTATATACATTTGGAGACTGCAGTGACAGGAAACATTTGGGAGAAAGGAATTTGCCCTAGACATACACATAAGGAAACTAGAGAACTAGAGTATGTTGTCACCAACATTCTGGAAACTTTCTAGAGATTTAAACCCTGTTAAATTAACTAACGTTGATCATGAGGTTAATTAGTTTCATGTTTGTCTTATCAAATCCTAGTTTAAAAATGTCATTGAAAAATCCTATCTTGGGCCTCCCTGGTGGCACAAGGGGTTAAGACGCAGCCTGTGAAGCTTTCCGAAGCCATTGCAGCATGAGTTCCATCCCTGGCCTGCCAGGGAGCAATCCACATGGCGCAGCAGACCTCTCCTGACTCCGGCTGCTCCCCTCTGCTGTGTACTTTGGTCAGTCTGCCTGTTCTGTTCCCCACTGTCTCGTGAATCCTCTCCGTGCCCCTGCCCCCAACCCCAACACACATCTGTCCTATACCCCAGCTCTTGTATGCATGAATAAATAAATTTTTTTTTAAAAAAAGAAAAATCCTATCTCAATTTCAAATGTAATATTTATTGAATACCTGCCTACTGTATGCCAAGTTAGTTAATGTTTTAGGCATTGGGGATAGAGCTGTGAAAATATTCTATGGCCTGTGCTCCTTGACATTTCTAATGGGGAGAAGTAGACAAGAAACAATCCCTTTAACTGTAGGTTAATGCAGAAATGGACAGAAGTTGCTCTAGGGAGAGGTGAGAGTTGAGTCTGAATCACATATTTTATGTATGGGGAGAATACTAAGGAATAGCTTTTAAAGTATCATTCTAGTTTCATCTTAAGTTTTCCCTCCCAGGCCTAGCTTGCGCCTTTGTACCTTATATGCAACTGGTAAAATAGTATTAACACCCTTTGTAAGCATAATGTGCATTCTTGAAAGAGATAGAACATTGATTTTCTGTAGCATTTTAAAAGTTTCTGCAAGATTTCCTGTGTCCATATAATGGAATCACAGAAATTATCTTACTAGGAAAAGCAGTGTTTTTGTGATATGTAAATGCTTTCTATGCATTTTTCTGCTATGGAATTAATATTGGAGAAAAGTGGCTTTTAGTAATAAGGTAAATTTACATATTTTAAGTCCATAAGTGAGCTAAGATGGGCTGAATTTCACAAAGGACAACTGATAGCACAACTATATTTAGTGCCTGTGTTACTAGATGGAAGTGAAAAACTCAATTTATTCACTCATTTTCTCAGTGCCATATAACAGAGTACTGTGTCCCTAGCATCTGACACAGTCTGAGGTAGGAAATAAATGTTTTGAAAGCATTTAATGATAACTTTAAAAAAAGTAAAGGTACAGATAATTGCCACAATTTAATATTGATTTACGGTGTATGTGATAATTTCTCCAGGAGATGGCACTGTTGACTTTTTTCCTTTTCAGATAGTAAGACAATAGACCATTCATCTTTGTGTCACCCAAACAAAGAAATACTCCTGTATGGCCCCTTCTCTCCCCCCAGTTAATCACATGCTTCTGGAACTGACTGTCTTGTGATCTACTTTGTAGTTGGTGTAGGTTCAAAATCTGTATTTTAAATAATAATCTGACACAAGGTTAATGGAAAAGAACAAATTGTTCAGTTTTCGTCAGTTCTGTAGCTGAGAACTTGAAACTAGTGATTTTACTGTCTGGCTCAGATACCATTCAAAAGTATCATTTACTTCTCATATCTCACTCTGATTGTTCCGTAAACATGTACATTCGTAAATCTTTCTGTTTGCAAATGAACTTGACCAGAAGGGTTTCACTGTAAATTTTGGATCTGGAGCACTGCACCATTTTGTTCTGCAATGAATAAACACATTGTCATTTGGGTTCACTTCAATGTACAGTTAAAAGTAATTTTTAGTTACTTTATTCACGTGTGACATTTTGCATGCTTTGTATCTTTGTAAAGAACAACTAGCATTAAAAAAGATGGAGTCTGTGAAGTTAAGATGCAGAACTGGTTTTACTTGTGCTGCGTGTTTTAGAACTTATATGTGCTGAGTTTCCATCCCTTTTTTTAATTGGAGGGGGGTGCTCATTTAGGGGTCATCACATACTGAAAATCAAGCTTGTGCAATGCACTCACTGCAGAATCACTGCACTTTGGTGAAGCTAAAACGGTCGAGCCTAAAGTAGACATTGGGGCGTTTCCTAGCGCCCCTTTACCTGTGCCTAAGGTCTACGCTACTCTCCAACTCCTGGAGAACCAGTCTGCAATTCCACCTTTGGCCTAACTGCCCGCAAGAGCGGGAGGTGAGCAAGGCCTTACGTTCTCCAAGCTGCCTGAGTCATGGATGCCCTGATGTCCATCTGCCTCAGTAGGATTAGCCCACACAGCTCACATTCGCCTTGCAGGCCAGCAAGACGTTGCCTCTGCAGACAATGGGCGCGCCAGTGCGCGGGGGTTAAAAACCTGAAGCACCGGTTCGTGCCAAGCCCCCTTTTCCAGCTGAGCGAGCTCTGGGATTCCCTGGGGAGATTTTGCAGGCGCTGCCGCAACCCAAGGAATTTTAGGGGTGTCTCTGGAGCAGAGGCGGGGACTCGCGCAGCCCCGGCTTGAGGGTGCCGGGGCGGGGCGGGGGTGGGGGGAGCAGCAGCAGCAGCAGCAGCAGCAGCAGCAGCGCGGGGCTGAGGGGGGCGGGCTTCTCGGGGCGCAGGCAAGCTCCTACGTTAACTCTGGAAGCCCGGCCCGGAGCAGTCGGGGGGCGGGGGATGACCTCAGCCGTCTCTGCCACGTTCCAGCCAATCAGCCCCGCGTCTTGGCATCCGAATCCAGGACCCCCGAAGCCCCGGGCGCGCGAGCCAATGGGAAGTGGGCCGGGGAAGAGGGACAGGCGGCCGGCCTATGGGGCGGAGCGGCCCGGCTGCGCGTATCCAAGGAGCGCCGGGCCCCGCTCGGGGGTGTGGCGCGGCGCCGGCGGGGGTGGGCGGGCGCGCCGGGTGGCAGGTGTCAGCGGCGTCGGCATTCGGCGGCGATGGAGCGGCCCCGGGGAGCTGCGGCCGGCCTCTCGCGCGGGCGGCGCGGCCTTGGCGCCCTTCTCGTGCTCCTGCAGCTGCTGCCGCCGGCCGCCCTGGGCCAGGACCGGCTGGACGCGCCGCCGCCGCCCGCGGCGCCGCTGTCGCGCTGGGCCGGCCCCGTCGGGGTGAGCTGGGGGCTGCGCGCGGCCGCGCCCGGGGGCCCGTCTCCGCGCGCCGGCCGTTGGCGCCGCAGCGCGCACGACCCGACCGAGGGCTGCGGCGGGGCCCGGGACTCCGCGGCCAGGCTGGCCAACAACACGCACCAGGTGAGCGGGCGCCGCGCCCCGGGGCCGCCCCCGGCCCGCGCGCCCCGGCCCCGGCCCCGCGCGGCGCCCCTCGGGCTCTCCGCGCGCCTCGCACCCCCGCGGGGAGGCTCCGGCGCCCCCGCGCCCCGCGCGCCCCGCGCCCCCCGCGCCCTCTGCGCCCCCCGCGCGCCCCGCGCCCCCCCGCGCCGCGGCCCCGAAAGTGCGGGCGGGCGGAGTCCAGCCGGGGGGCGGCCCCCGCCGCTGGGCGTCGTCACAGGGGAGGCCGGCTGGGGCCGCGGCCGCGTTCTGTTCTGGAAGTTGTCGGGGTCGCTCGAGCGCCGCTGTTTTCCGTCTGTGTAAATAGCCGGACCCGGCCCCCGGCCCCACCTGGGCGCTGGAGGCGCGGCCACCTCTCCAGCGCCCGGGGAGCCTGGGCCGCCGGAGCAAAGGTGCGTCCTCTCGGGGGCGTCCCTTGCAGGCGGGCGGTCCCCGGCGGCGGGTGGGGGGCTGCGTGTGTTCTCGTGGTGAGAGGAGCAAGCGTGGCAGGGATGACAACGTGAGCTCGTGTAACACCGTCAACTTGACCTGCTGGGGCCTCCGACTCTGACCGGGATGTCCCGTGGTGACGAGGTTCCCATGAGTTGGAAACACACTATAGATGCTCTGCTGTGAACCGGGTCCTGGGCGCACACGCTGCGGTGTGTCCACTCTGCTCTTGAGGACCAGCAGCTCCACCTTTGCACACTACTGGGCTGAGTCAACCCTCAGGTGTGCCCTGGCTCCTAAGCTCCAGTGC